CAACTTTGGTATTTTAAATGAGCAAATAAACTGATCTTTTCCTGGAGCTTACAGGGATTCTAGTTAGTTTGTAAAGAAGCGTTCAGAATGTGACTAGTAGAGTAATGGGGTGAGACTTAAATCCCAGTATAGCTGCTAATCCTGTTTAATTCCTTAAAGCCTAGCAGACCTGTTCTACTTGCAGATAGTTTCACTTATGGTAACTTTGGTATTTTAAATGAGCAAATAAACTGATCTTTTCCTGGAGCTTACAGGGATTCTAGTTAGTTTGTAAAGAAGCGTTCAGAATGTGACTAGTAGAGTAATGGGGTGAGACTTAAATCCCAGTATAGCTGCTAATCCTGTTTAATTCCTTAAAGCCTAGCAGACCTGTTCTACTTGCAGATAGTTTCACTTATGGTAGGATCCATAAGAAGCAGACTGCAAAAATGCAATGCTGGCAGGTATTGAATGTGAATTTCCCAAATGTGGGGTTCTGTTGTCTGTATGTGTGGTAAGCCGCAGTAGTTAGAACATGGGTTCCCAAACTTGAGGGGGGGTGCCAAAATTCCGGTCGGGGTGTGTGTGTGTGTGTGTGCACGCGCGGGGCAGCCCAGCCTCCCCCCTCCCCACCAAGTTTTGCTTTTTTAAAAACAAATTTTTTAAATTTTTTTGCTCAACAAGTTTAGTTACTATTTTTGGGGGGGGGAGGGGAGGCATGTGAGGGTTTTTCAGAAATCAAAAAGGGGCATGATGCCGAAAAGTTTGTTAGAAAGTCCTTTAATCGGAGAATATGATCAGATTTTATAAATGGATGCAAAAGAATTGTAATGTGTTTAATTTGTTTTGGGTGGTGTAAAAATACTGTGTTCTGAGGCCTGTTGGCCCTGAAATGCTGCTACTAACTGAAAGTAGAAATGCATAAATCCAAAACCATAGAGGCTTCTGAAAGATAATCTTTAGCTCTTGGAAGAGAGAGCTAATTGTTCTCCCTGCTTGCCTTAGAGCAGATGGAAAACATTGCAACGTTCTGCATAGCGCCCCTCCACTGCCTTTCATGTGGCTGCTTTTTTCCCCATTGTTAACATAATTCTCTCATTCTAAAAGCCTGTATGTTAATTGTTAGATTTCCTTAGTGCACTGATTCAGGCCATTTGTGTCTCATTTAACTCTCATTCGATCCTGAGTCCTTTTTTTTCCTTATAAGGCCATCATGTTTGATCACTTCCTGCTGCAGCGCTTCATTTTTTCTCTTCTCTTCCCTCCCCTATCCTAGATGATTTCTCCATGTGGCACAGTTGTAACTGTTCACAGCTGTCTGAAAGAGCAGCAGGCTAAGATCAGCACTGAGCTTTTACTTCCTTTTGTGTAAAAAGGAAGTGCCTTAATGCTGCATCTGACAGTTTGACTGGCATTAACTTCTTATTCTTTTTAGAACACAGAAAATCTTCCTCCTCTTTTTAGAAGGGGGACTCTGAGTGTGTTGAAGAAGAAGTGGGAGAATCCAGTATCGGGAACAGAGTCTCTGAAGGAAGACCTACAAAGCAACTGTACTGAGGTTAGGCAGAAGGTCGTCAATTTGAGTGTTGGAGTAGAAAGCAACCCTGCCTCTGTAGCAGAAACGGACCAAATGTCCAGGGTCTATACTAGATCTCCACTCCGATCGCCTTCTGGAGCTTCTGGCCAACTGCAGTATCCAAGAGTTGACAGCAAGGAGACCAAGAGCCATAAACTGGAGAGTGGCAAAATGGAAAATGGTGTAAGAGAATCCAGACAAGAAGTAGGCAAACCTGAGGCCAGTGAAAACCCAGACTCTCCAGGGAAGATAGAGAAATATAGCATTCCACTAAACAAACTAAAGATGATGTTTGAGAAGGGTGATTCAACTCAAACAAAGGTAAGGATTGTATAAGAAGCTAAAAATTAACTGCCTCCCAGGCATCTGAAAATGTTTTGCAGGAGAATGGTTCAGAGCTATTAACTGTACGAATGGCACTTTTATTCATTACTGAAGCTGAAAAAATGTATCTTGAGGTGCTTGGTGCTAAAATCTTTATGGATGTCTGACTTTCCATGTATGCAGTCTTGTAGCTGTGTTGGTTCTAGGGTTTTAGACAAGATGGGTTAAGTAATACCATTTTTATTGGACTAGCTTTCGTTGGTGAGAGACAAGCTTTGAACTTTCCCTGGGTATTCAAAGCTTGGTTTTTTTGGACCAACAGAAATTGGGCCAATGAAAGGTATTCTATCTCTCACCTTGACTCACTGACTTGGTTTGCAGTTATGCAAAAGCAGGGAATTCTCTTTTTAGCATGGTAATCTGGAAGGGATAGATTATTTCTCTTTTTTTTTTTTCTGGATTCAATAAAAACACAGATTGGATTATTTATGTAAATTATTCTTTTTAAAGCAAGATGGAGTTGATGGCTGTTTCGTTTCTTTTATGGCAGTGAGATCTCTAAACATGAATTGTAGCAAGAAAAACTTATTACACTCTTCACAAAGTGAGCATAACACCCGCTGCTGTGGGGCAGGAAGGTCTGCCAAAATTACAGGGAAAGTCTAAGGGCTATTACATTGAGCTGAAACTCCATCTCTTTGCTGTTCTTGCCTATATATCTTAATGTTTCTTATCAAAGAAAATCTTCTCCCAGGGAAAACAGCTTGATGAGCTCCTGCCTCTACTAGTTTTGACTTGCAAAGCACAGGGCTTGTATTTTCCTACAACTGTTCATGAAATTTGATACTGCGTGTGGACTGCAGATTGTGTCCCCAGGGAGAATTGCTTAACTAGAAAATTAGTTGCATATGCCAGTGACTTACAATAGAGTCCTGGGGCCTTGATACTAGTGGAATCTCCAGTTTTCTCTCAGTTTCTTAGATTTGGGGCTTTATTTTACTCAGGAAGATTTTATTAGCTCACTCAGTAAAACAAAGCAAGATCTTGGACCGGGAAGTTATTTATTTCAGATATAAAATGAATGGCATCTTGGGGTTCAGAATCTTTGGCTTGAGATGCATTTTTACCTGAATATGAGCATTCAGACTTGTTTGTCACAGTAACAGTTTAAATCTGAGTTCTTAGTCTTCATGCACATTTTATAAAATCTGACTCTATCCTTATGGTGCCAATTAACAAGGAGCAGTAGCAAGAAGTGACTTTGATTTCTTCTCAGGAATTATGGGAACTTGTGCCCACGGGCTTTAGCACACCAGAAATCCACAGGAAAGTGCCAATTTTCCAGGGAAACTTGAGGAACTATATTTGAGTAGGACAGGGAGGAAGTGTGATTGAGCTGACCAAATGACTGATCTCTTTAACAGCTGGAATTGTTCATAGATAACTCCTTATTTGAAATTCTGTCACAGAAACCAAGCTATGCAGAAACCACAGAGGCAGCATAGAGACACATTTTTGTTTCATTAAAGTAGAGAACAGATTAAGAAGTCTGAGTAACTACAAAATGCAATGTGCTCATTTCTGTAATACAACGGTTCACTCCTTAAATTGATGGTCTTGACACACTCTCTCTCTCTGCCTCCTTGTATCCTCACCTACATCTGTTTGTAGAAACAGACTATCCAGACTCAAAGGAACAAAAATGTGTCTGGATTAAATTTTGGCCAGGAATGCTGCACAAGCCCCAGTTCTTCTTTTCTATTAAGATTTGGGTTCAGATTCTGAATCTCGGAAGCAAGACAAATTTTTATTGTATCTTTAGGAAGAAACTATCTTTAAACTACTTTGTAGTTGCCTGCTTGAGAAGAGGGTCTGAACCAAAAGACCATCTTTCCTTTATTACTGGCTTTAATGTCTCAAGTCTTAAACAATTTCAAAGATACTTCCAGGCACACAAGTGAAAGCAGAAGAAGAAAGGGGAACCATAACCTGAAACTTTCGGCTTGTGTTAAGATATGTTTGAGGCAGAAACATTTGTTTTCTTTTTGACATTGTTAATCTTGCTAGGAAGTGATTTGTATTCTTATGGTACAATATAAGTTAGATGTGATTTTCCCACAGCAAGATTGAGTTGTTGGTCAAAGGAACAAATGAAATGGAAATGCTGCACATGCAGCATCTTTTATGCAAAAACCTTGGGGCTTTCCGGAGATTGGAGTAGGGGTTTTATTGGTTCGGGTTTTTTGCTTACCTCATGTCAGTTCTGGGAAAAGTGAGATGCTACAAAGTCTCAAAGAACAAGTTTAAAAAAGGTTAATTTTTCTTCTGCACCTATATGTAGATTGTATGCTCCTTGGGGCTGAGAGGAGGTCTGGTTGAAGGATAGACGGTACACTGTGATTTCATGCATAATGGAATCAATCCCAACTCTTGGGAGTATTTTGTGCAATCTGTTAAAATTAAGAAGGAATTTTACCTTACTGAAGCCTCAAAAAAAACTTAGTTAGCTCTTTATTTGTTTGTTGACGTATTTAGTCTACATAATCTGAGTGAAGATTTCGGAGAAAGCTTGCTGATATCAATTCCAGTCTGCTGACAGAAAGGAGGATGGGATGTGGGGAATAGGGAGAGGAGGAGGAAACCACCAATTAGGGAACTCAAGAAAGCTTCTAGATTTACACATCTCTGTTGTTAAAAAGGATTGCTTGTCTAAAAAGATGAAGAGAGAAAATGTTGTCTAGTCTTCAGTCCCAGACCGTAAGGTTTTAGGCATTTTGGAGTGTTGGCTCAGTGTGATGGTGGATAGGGGGACTCAACAAGAACACGCAAACAATCTAGGGAAGGACTAAGTAGTCTTCAAGTTCCTAGAAGTGGGTAGATTTCATTTGGGTGTGTATCAGTACCTTCATCAGAAGAAAAGGCTCAGTAAAACACTTTTACAGTAAGCATCATTACCAATTTCCTAAATTATGGAAACAATTTCTACCCTTGCTAATGGAAAACAAGGGATTTTCCAACTACATTTTCCTTTCTGTGTGAAGTTTCTCTTCTGTGTGATGAAGAGGCTTGGTGGGGTGTGGTGGTTGTTTTTGTTTGTTTGGGGGAGGGGGGAGAGAAAGTGAGGATTTTACAATACAGCTCTGTTAGTATAAAACTGGAATTTCTATCACTCTGGTGACCAGCAAATGAGAAACTTGTTGGAATCAGGAAAAGAAATGTGTGGTCAGAGTATCTTGCCAAACCTTTTCCCGTCTGTATGAATTTCCAGAAGGCTCTGAGACTTAACTCTTTCTGAGAAGAAAATTCTGGTCACTTCTTGTTGGTTTTTATTGATTGACCTTCAGCTGTGAAAATATATCTGATCTTCGTACAAGCAAACAAAACTCTGCACTGGGGGTGTTAAATTGCAGTTCATCAGCTAATCGAGTAGTAGATGGAATTTCGATCAACCAATCAGTAAGTTGATGGGGGGAGGCGATCACTGCCCCCACTGCAACTCTCGAGTTTAAATGTAGTAAGAGCTCACTTCTGCACAGCACAGAGCATTCACAGGAACTGTTGAGACTTTTATCATTATTGGATTCTTCTTATTGTGTACTAAAGTTTGTATAGGAAGCCATTTGAGGATTGATTGCAGCAAATATGGAACACTCGGTCATAAGAATGGCCATACTGGGTCACATCAGTAGTCCATCTAGCTCCTATCCTGTTTTCCAACAGTGGCCAATGTCAGACGCTTTAGAGGGAACAAAGCAAAAATTGAACCATCCACCCAGTCCCGGTGTCTGACAGAGGCTTTGGGACAGACAGAACTTGGGTTCTATCCCTAACCATCTTGGCTAATGGTCACTTCTGGATCTAACCTCCAGAAACTTAATTCTTTTTTTGACGTTATGATTTTGGCCTTCACAACATCCCACGGTAGCATGTTCCACAGGCTGACTTGGGTTGTGTAAAGTAGTACTTAACTTCCGTTTGCTTTTAAAACCTGCTGCTTATTAATTACATCAGATGACCCCCAATTCTTCTGTTGTGACAAGATAAATCACATTTCTTTAGTCACTTTGTCCATGCTAGTCATGATTTTATAGACCTCTTATATCCTTTTCTTAGGAAACTCTTTTTTTAATCCGAAAAGTCCCAGTTTTATTCATTTCTCCTCATATGAAACCTATTCCATACTACTTTGTTGTTGTTGCCCTTCTCTGTATCTTTTTTCCAATTCTAATAACTTGTTTTAGAAGGAATGAGCAGAACTGCATGCTGTATTCAAGGTGTGGGTGCAACATGCCTTTGTATAGGGGCATTACGTCCAGAATCCCAACCATGTGGTTGGTGGTGATCCTGGTGAAACTGAGGAGCTTTCTGTCCAGCACCAAACTCTTGTCAAGGCAGCTGGCCTCCCAGACCTAATGTGGGGCTCAGCCTGACTTGAATAGATTGTGATATCAAACAAGGCTGTAGTTATCTACTAACATTTTTGTTCTCCTTTACAGCTACTGAACAGTAATTCTCGTAGATTGCTATCTTGAAACCTGGATATTTTTGTTTTTAGTCTCACATATGATTGTTACTGAGCTTGTAAACTGTTAATTTATAAAACGGGATTAGTGCTTATATATCTCCTTCCCTGGACATCTAGTTTGTTGCATATGTACTGGAGATGAGCATCTAATCTAAGTTTTGTATTTCTGTGGCATTCTAATTGCCTTTTACAATCAAAAGACATCTATGGACATATCTGAGAGGTCACCTTGTGACCAGACTTGATAATGCTTTATTAGGACATCATTTGTTAGATTTGTTTAGTCCAGTAAAGATGTGCTAGTGATACCTATGCATCTCCAGGATTATGCACAACAATCTCTGTCTTGTTCAGAGAGCTCATAGGTGAATTTTGTCTTTAACAGAGTTTTCGGGACCGGAGTAGGACTGCAAGTAGCAGGAGAATCTCTGAAAACAGCTTCTCTTCAGAGGACCTTGACATCAGCTCTGCTTCAGGTTGGTAGTCCAGAGCCATTTGGGCCTGTGCATTAGTGTAAGTCTCTTTGGTGCACGTGAAAGGAAGGAAGGAAATGGAATGCCTTCCATTTGAGGCTCTTGGATAGTGTGGCCATTGAGCACTGGACTGGGACTCAAAGGAGCTGGGTTCTTATTCCCTACTCTGCCACTCCACTGCTGGATGACCTTGGGCAAGTCACATCACCTGTTCCTCCATCTCTAAAATGGGAATAATGATACTGTTCTCCTTTGTAAATTGCTTTGATTTACTGATAACCACTAGATAATAGCTAGGAATTATTGATAACCTTTATGAACACTGTAATCTACACTTTTTTACATAATATCCTTGTGTCTGGTATTCGTCTCCCTGAAAGTGGAAGAAGAGACTTGAACAGCTTTGTACTGAAGGCTTTACTGTTAATGCTCCACTTATGAAAGTTACTCTAACCATGTAATTTCCTTGTTGCAGATCACGTCATGTGTAGCTCTCCAACACTGAACTCAGACAAGCCAGAGAGTAGAAGAAACCTGGAGATGCCTCTCCTGACAGAAACGTCAATAAAGGATAGACTGGCAAAGTATCAGGCAGCTGTGTCCAGGCAAGGCAGCTCCATAGGCCATATGGTACGTCTGTCTGTTGTATCTATTATGCAGTGGGTGTCATATTGTTATAGCCCTGAGGCTAGCAAATGGTTCTGATGAAAACTAGTGATGTTATGGACTAGTTGACTATCCGATAAGCAAATGCTTATCGGATAGTCAGTTGACTCGTCGATTTCCCCTCCCCATGCCCCTTCTGCCTCTATCAGAGGCAGCAAAAGGGGGGGAAAGAGGGTATTTCAAAGTGGCAGCGCCACACAGCTGATCCCGGGGTCAGCTGGGGACTCCAGCTGATCCCTGGTTCCAGCGCAGCATTTCCATACAACCTGGGATCAGCTGGGGAGTCCCCCACTGACCCCGAGCTCCATATGGTGCTGCCACTTTGAAATGCACAAGAACCCCCGCTGGGGACTCTGGTACATTTCAAAGCTGGCATGCTCCAGGCTACAGACACATTCCTCCTAGAGAGGGCTCTTGTGCATTTCAAAAGAGGAATGCAGAAGTGCCTGTCCAGTAGTGGATGGAAATAGATGATAGATGGAAATTCCATCCACTGCTCAACTAGTAAAATAACCGTTAGTTGACATCCTTAATGTAAACTAAGCTATTTACATGTAATGTTACCCTGGTAGAAGAGAACAGAGCATTCATTATCTCGCTTGGAACTGAAAGCTGTCTTGTGTTCTGAAGAATTGAAAAACTGCAGCAAAAGATGTGTACTTGCCCCTTCCTGAAATAAGATACTTTCTAAAGACCCAACTGGTGATATGTTATCTGAAAGCCCTCCATTGAAATGCAGCTGGCACCATTTCTTTTTCTGCATGTCTGTAGCACTCTGTATCTGAGGAACTCTGTGTGCTTCACAAGCACTAATGAACTGTAATCTTATGAACCTTCTGTGATTTAGGGGAAAGTGAGGCACAATGAAATGAAGTGACTTACCTGAAATGATAAATGCAGTTCAGACCTCCTGACACACAGTTCTGTGCTTTTTAACCAGCCTTCTTCCCCTTTGCAACTATTCCTCTTCAAATCCTTTTTTCCTCATCTTTGTTTGAACTCAGTCTGTGTTGTGTTTTTTAAAACCAGCGCTCCCTTAGTTGGCCAGATAACTGAACAGAAAGTGAGAAGCTAGTGAATCACAGCAAGCTGTATTCTAGTTAAAGCAACTGCAAGAGTCTAAGATTGTGGGTCAGAAAGAAGGGGTGTGTCAGTTGGAACTATTAGCTGCTTTGTTTAATGTTAGACATTTTTGTTGATTTTTATGTCCTTTCTAGCCAGACAGATACATTCCAAGTAGATGACAATATTCTAGAGAGGGAAACTAGACTGGCAACTTTGGCCCCCAGTGTTGAAGAGTCTCCAAATTAAACATGGGAAGTGCTTGTGGTTCTTAGAAGTGTCTACAGCTAGAGATGTATTTTGCTGCTGGAACAGCCCAATCCAAGCAGAAGGCATTTCTCCTTGCCATATGCAGTGTGGGTCTAATTCTCAAGCCCTTGGGCAGTAATTGAAGTAACTTAATGGTGTGAGCTGAAAGTAATCGCACCAGTTTACCAAATCTCCTTAACTGCTAATAGCTGATTTTATTTAGTTCATGCTTCCCTCTGTTAGTTGCTAAATAGCCTTTTCCAATTAGTAACAGAGATGGTTGGAGTTCACTGACTAGCATTCCCTAGAAGCCAGTAACCAGCCAGTTGACCATATGGGCTCCTTCAGGTCTTGTTCACAGTCAAGTCCAAACCACCCCAGCTGTTCTAGCCTGGCTTGGTGTCCCATTGTGAGCAGAGCTTATTTGAATGCCCCTGCTGACCGAGTCTAGATTCTATGCTATATAACTATCCTCAGTAACTCCCTGCAGGTTTGTATTATGGCCTCTTAACGATGATTGTAGCTAAGTGTGGATGCAAATAGCTACAACTACAGCAGTGTTTGCAGTGGTTTTCAAATAACCCAATGGAAGCTATGGCTCTTATTCTTTGGCAGAATCTATGACCACTATCCTCCTGCTATGAATTCCTTGTACTCTCCACTGTCAGGAAGCACAATGGGTCTTGCTGCTGTGGGAGTGTACAATTTGTGCTTCATCCCGTATGTCTCCAGCTGAAGTACTGGTAAAATGTTAAAGCCGGGTCCAGGCCTATCTATGCTACAAAAAGGCATGATTAATCTTTTTTTGTGGGGGAGAGTTCTTTTGAGGGTTGTCTGTTGTGTAGACAGCACCTGATCAAGACTAAGCATCTTGTATATTTTCTTCTGTTGCAAGTGTGATAACATCCCTTCAGAACACTGCAAGAATTACTTATTTCTAAAGACCTGTCATTAAACACAAAGGTTCAAGAAGATAGATACGAGCATATTTTCAAGAAAGATGTGGAGAAATTGGAGAGGGTCAAGAGAAGAGCAACAAGAATGATTAAAGGTCTAGAGAACATGACCTATGGAGGAAGGATAAAAGAACTGGGTTTGTTTAGTTTAGAAAAGAGAAGATTGAGGGGGAACATAATATCAGTTTTCAAGTATCTAAAAGGGTGTCATAAGGAGGAGGGAGAAAACTTGTTCATCTTGACCTCTGGGGATAGAACAAGAAGCAATGGGCTAAAACTGCAGCAAGGGAGATTTAGGTTGGACATTAGGAAAAAGTTCCTAACTGTCAGGGTAGTCAGACACTGTAATAAATTGCCCAGGGAGGTTGTGGAATCTCCATCTCTGGAGATATTTAAGAGTAGGTTAGATAAATGTCTATCTGGGATGGTCAAGACAGTATTTGGTCCTGCCATGAGGGCAGGGGACTGGACTTGATGACCTCTCAAGATCCCTTCCAGTCCTAGTATTCTATGATTCTATATCTCATGGTCCTTATTTTTTTTTCCAAGGCCTTTTGCAGTTGATGCTTGACGACTTCTTTTCCCTGCTACCAAAAGGCTGTCTCATGAAAGGCATGAGCTCTGCATTGCCACAGTGTCTACCAATTAATCGGCAAAAGAATCATGAGATTTCTCTGGGTTTTTTTAAAGATGAAAATTTGGAAGACTTTTCTGTAAAACTTTCCTGAAATGAGACTTGCTTTGAGAGAGAAATGAAGTTTGTCACATGGGTGGCTGGCATGTGTTGGAGATATGATAGAACTCACTTATATGGAGAATGATTTCTCACTTTCCTAGTGCATTAGAGAATAATACAGGTTCCTTGCCCTGAAGTGCTTGACCCAAATAAAAAATGGGGCAGCATTTCAGGTAAGGCAAGTTTTGGAATTAAGTCCTGTGGGCACCTTAAAGACTAACAGATTTATTTATTTGGTCATAAGCTTTCGTGGATAAAAAACATTTTATTGGGTGCATATTTTTGTAGATACAGACTAACCCAGTGACCCATCTGAGACTTGTCAGGAAAGAAAGAGTTGTTTTGAAGGAAAGGTTCTTGGTGCAAAGGTATCTTGATACAGGCAGTCCCCGAGTTACGTGGATCCAACTTATGTCGGATCCACAGTTACGAACGGGGTCCGTCTCCCTGGTCTCCAGCAGACCAGGGAGAGGAAGCAAAGCGGCGGAGCACGCGGGCAGCGGACGCGTCTGGGCTGTCCGCTGCCCACGTGTTCCGCCGCTTTGCTCCCCGTCCCCCTGGTCTGCAGACCAGGGAGACGGGGAGCAAAGCAGAGCAAAGCTGCGGAGCCCGAGGGCAGCAGGACAGCCACGGCACGTCTGGGCTGTTCCGCTG